TTGCCTTTAAAGGAGTGCCCTTTGCTGTGCTGATGTTGCTACATGCCTTACTTCTTGCCTATCTCACACTGCGAATTTTTTCTAAGCTCTATACTAAACATTAAATCTGTTACGAAAAAAGAATTAAACAAAATGAACACAAAACGATCAGCTTTAAAAAAAGGACTCGTAACTGGAAAAATCGAATGAAAAAAGAATGTTAAAAACAAATACTTTTTCACACCCAACCCAGTTCTGCGGAATCAGAATCAACGTTGAGTTTAAACAAGCGAATGAGCCAATTGGAGTAAAGTGCCATGCGGATTTAAATTTTTCCCACTTATGACGAATGCAGCCATCGATTTTTTGCATGCTAGCATGCTAGTTAACATTTGTGTCAGTCAGCTGTTGGCTCTCACGCTGGCCAATAGAATCTTCCTGTCTATTCGTTGCAGCCAGTTGGCTCTCACTCTGGCCAGTAGAAAATGGCCGCAAACTACATGAAAACTGCCGTAGAAGCATGAAAAAAATCGATTATTTCCACTATCGATGGGAGTTGGGAAATGCAAAGTCAGTCTTAGCCTTCCCGCTAACTTGGAGCATGTGCATGTACATTTTGGTGTAAATCCGTCGAAAATTGCGGCCGTGCATTTGTTACACACACACACACACACACACACACACACACACACACACACACACACACACACACACACACACATCCTCCCTTATTATATATATATATATATATATATATATATATATATATATATATTGTATTGTATTGAGCACTTTTTATTATTTTAGCTTTTAATAGGGAGAGCTTTACCTTTGTTTGTGGTAGATGCTATTTTCAGTGCCCTAATTATTTTATTAGATGCTTTTGTCAGTATTCTAATTATTTTATATTCAATGTTTTGGGTTTTTTTAAAGCATTTCACCCCAAGCAAGTCAGAAGTGCCATTATCACACAGGGGTTATGGAGAGGAAAATGAGAAAAAAGTGTGGGTGCAGTGGGGATTGAAGAAAGGAAAAAGAACAGGTATCAACGCAACAAAAACATGGTGACTGATGTTGCATTTAGGTTTTTGATGATTGTAGTTATCAGGGAAGCAATTGAGAGGAATGGAGTTCCAATATGGAGAAGTGCGAGGAAAGAAACTGTTAGAAGGGCGGTTACATTTAACTATTTCAACATTTAAAAGTTGGGCCCTAGATGCCAATCTAGTAGTACACTTAAATTAATGAAGTCAGGGCACTAGAGAAAAATACTCATCAGTGCAGTAGCCATGAAAATATTTGTAGAAAAGACAGAGGGAAGCCACATCACGTCTGTGAGAAAGCGGCTGAAGTCAAGAAGCTAATTCAGTACCGATTACATTACAGATCCTACTTTAGATTTTTTTGAGAATATTGCACTAAGGGAAAATTTTATGGATAAAACTGTGCAACCAGTAATAAAAATCACAGAAATGCAATCTATGTTGTTATTCATTTAAACATTATCATCATTTAATAGTAATAAAAAAAAATATATATATAATATATTTAAAGTAATAATAAAAGTAATAAACGTAATAGACAGATATACACATATACAATACACACATACATACATATAAACTTACCTAGTTACAAACGTAATACATAATTTTCAGTGTTTGATGCAAAATAAATGTCTATTTTTAAGACTATATAAACTTATTTTAATTTTTTTCCTCGAGGCATAGTTTGCATCTGTTTATATATATATATATATATATATATATATATATATATATATATATATATTACGATCAAATATTGATAGGAATGCAAGAGAATGATAGGATAAGGGACAAATAGGAAATCTTTATAAATCTGACATGCTTTGCTTTTATTAACACTTGAGATGTGGAGGTTTATTTCCCACGAGGGTCGGCCAGGTGAAGGTGAGAGGGGGAGCACGTTGCGGCGTTTACTCGTTCCCCCACGAGAATGAGATGTGACACAAGGTCGGATTAATGTGGGGGACCCGAGCGCGTACACTCGGGCAGGGACAAAAATTTCCCTCGAGATTTATTTCGTATAAATACAAAATTGTGGCACAAGGCCGAAAAAGGGGAGGGGGTAAAAGGCTGGTCTTCACTAACTATCTTATACCTAGCTAATTTGATTTACAATTTACTCATTCACCATAAGAACTCGTCCGTCACCAATCAATCCTCCATGCACCATAATACCACATCCACTCTAGAGAGACCTACAAAACGCGCCCCGTGTCATAATAATTTAATGATACTAACACATATGTACAAAATTCTAAGATGAAAAGATGAGAGGGTGAGGGAGAGATGAACCCAATAACGAACCAAAATATTAACACAAATCAAATTAAACGTTAACTGATGTTAGTAGGGCCCGTCCAACCCTCAAAAGGCAGGGAGACCACTGTATTCTGCCCATTTGAACAAAATCAAGCAGCTCTCTCGCTAAGGGAGTGGGAAAGGTGATAAAAAAATCATACGGGCAGGGGAAGTATAAAACTAACCCAGTCGAGATAGAAAGTCGGGGGCCAAAAAACAAACTGGGGAGGTTGGAAATCTCAGGCTGGATCATAACTAAAGATGTGGCCGGGGTGCAGGCCGGGAACAACACTTACATTAACTAGGTACACCAAAGCTTGTCTAACCTAACCAAGGGGAGGGCTTCGCAGGAAACCACCCCGATGTGACGTAAGTTGACCTAAAACAGAAAATCAAGGCTAACCCCGTTCATACGAACCAAGCTCGCCTCAGTCACCCACCTTTCGTTGAAGACTGTCGAATGCAAGCGTTTTCTATCAGTTCTAATCTTCATCTTGAGCTGATGCTCAAAGAATCGGATCAGATCCTGATGAGAAAGACGGATACCCCGCAAGACTTCCTCCTCCCGCGTCGTCCATATCACCATTCAGGCCGTGGCTAGCAGCATGAGAAACACCATCCGTTTCACCCCGGGGGTGACACATTGTCACACGCGTATGCGCGATCAATGGGCACAAGCTTTTCGGGGGCGAGACGAGCCGTCAGCTCGCCGACATGGTCCCATAAGGGGCGGACCCGGGGGCAATGGTAGAAGGCGTGCGAAGCCGTTTCCTATTCCCCTCTCGTGGTGGAAGAAATCGGCTGTGTTTATGGCAGCTGATGTTAGCATCGTAGCTGGTTGGCAATATCTTTTGGTTTATGACTAAAAATTAACTTTCGCATTTTGACTTTACACATGGTTTTCATTTGGACACCATGTGTATTTAAAGTAGTTTCCAGTTATTATTTTTAGTTAGGAGGACTTGTGTATATTTTGGTTTCATTGTTTACTTTTTGTGTATCGTTCTCTTATAAAAAACGCTGAATCACCGGAACTTAACGGCATTCGGACGTTTGAGTAGCCGGCAGTAACTTCCGGCCGGGTGCGATACACTTAACCGTGCTTTCAAATTGATTTCGTGCAAAAACAATAGTGTTTTTCCAATTCTTGGCGCTGTCGGGGTAATTTTACTTAGTCCTGTGAAGTTTTGTTGAAATCGGTTGAAAAATGTAGGAAATACGATCCCATATATAAACGTACACACACACACACACACACACACACACACACACACACACACACACACACACACACACACACTGCGTTTTGTAATAAGTAAGATGCACAGATATCCTTGGGAAAGGAATGAATTCACCTCTTCTTCCTCCAGCTATGGGTTAATTAGTAAGACACGTATCACTAAAACATTATTATCTAAAACAATTTCTTACATTCTAAAAGAATTTTTTGGCTTTAAATAACCTTCAAAGTGTTGATAACCCGTAAAAAACAAATCAATCAATCTATAAAAATATTCCAAAATGTCAATGTAATGTCAGTCGTCATCTTCCGTCTACTTAATTTCCTTTCTTTTAGCGTCCGCTCTCCTTAATATTGTTTTTTTCTCAGATTCTTTCACAATCAGTAACTCTCGTGCATCTTAGTGGCTTTATTACCTTACTTGAGGTGAAATGAATAAAACAAATTAAAAAATGGGTCGAAATAGAGTAATATAAAATAAGCTTAGCATAGTTTGGCAAGTTACACAAGTTAATGTCTGCAAGTATAACTTAAGCATAGTTCTACAGCATGTGTCCTATGACACAAGGCCAAACTAGTTGGATATCTGTGTGAGGATTGAACTCAAAGTAATTCTTTTAAAGTCATTTGATCTACACCCAACCTTGACATGGGTCCCAAATACAGGATACCCCCCTAATCTTAACTCTAATTTCAGCGAGGGATATAAGTAATTATTTTCCGGGTTACAAATTATTATTAAGTTCAGTCCCAGGGGTGGGGTTGTCCCCACAGACAATGAATTTGCCTCGACGCTCAAATGACAATAAATATTTCTGGAGGCAATTATGTGGAAAGCAAGAATGAACGAATGAAAGTATGAATTAACGATATACGTATGTTATGTATGTATGTATACATGTAAAGAGAGAGACAGAGACAGAAAGAGAGAGAGAGAGAGAGAGAGAGAGAGCGTAGTTTGATCAAATTGTCTAGAACCTTGTGAAGTTTAAACTCTTTACACATCGACTTTATTGAATAAATTTACCCTTTAGTATTTCAAGATATTTGTAATTTTAGTAAATATATCTGTTAAATTGAGATGTCAGTGTTTTCTGTTTTTTATTTGTGCCTAATTTAGACAACAATTTATCCATCGCACTCTGTATTTCAATCTCTTTTCCCTTTAAGAATCAATCTCGCTACCCACTAATAACAGTCTCCTAGACTAACTTGTTAACCATTGCCATAGAGATCCAATTTTCAGTGTTTTATGCAGCGAAATAGAACAGAAATTGTTATAAAGCAATTAAAAAAATATCAACATCTTCGTTTTTCAAGTCCATGCCTACAAGTTAGGTGTTCTTTCCGACGAGCATACACATCTTTGTTGTTTTTATTCCATCATTTCAACCGTTTTCATTATCCAACCTTTTATACGAAAATTGTTTATAGAAATGATTCTTTTTTCTTTCCCCTATGCAGAGTAAAGATTAGTTTAGTCTGTTGAAAGGACATATATAATAGTGAAAGATTGTGTTGCGCCAATCTTCTAAATGGGATTTCTGGACTTTCAGCTCTCGATTCTTTCTAAGGCTCCCACTCTGCTCTTCAATTGAACTGACATACTTCTGCAGTGCTTTGGGCAAGGATTGAACTCTTAACTTCTAGGGATTTTATCCATGAGTCCGTTTCTCTTAATTTCAGTGCAAAAAGTCTCAAATTCCTTGTCTCTATATTATGTCCGCTCAAGACGTAGGTGATCACGGATCTCCCCATATTGTATTCCTTTATTATCTGTGAAGTGGCATGATTTCTTAGTAAATATAAAGTGTCTTACTGTTGTTTTATCAGCTTTGAATTCAGAGTAGTATTATCTTAAACTGGCTGCCAACCAAGGCAAGTCTATCCTGTTATTTAACATTGTGGCAGAAAAGATACTTTTCCGATGGGCATGTGTACGATAAAGCAACAGACTAAGCAGGAATTTGAACTCGGTTCGTCGAATCCATTTTCTTCGCCGATAATCAACACATACACTCTAATTCTAGGTTACAATAAAAAAAATGTTCTCAACTGATTAAAAAACAAAAATCGATTTTCAATATTTCGAACATCGACTGCGACAACGAAATTTCCAGGACTTAGAGTTGGTATTTCGTAGAATTTTCACAAAGGAAAAATAATTTAAGCAAATGGAAAGAATCTTTAAACTTTTCATTTGAATAAAGATGCTATTTTGTCAGGAATAAATAAACATACTGATAAAGATTTAATTATTTTCCCTTGCAGGGAACTTCAAGAATTTTCCCACCAGATTGCCATCCTCATCAAAGAGGAAGTCGATTCCGCTTTGGCTTTAGTTGATCAAGGAGCTGACATGGCGAAAAAGGTGACTGGAATTTATTAATGTATTACATAAAAAATATCAGGGTTTTTTTCAGTCATTTTCTGGAGTAACTTAATTGCATTTCCTAAATAAATCATTTGCAGTTCGCTTCTGTAATAATTCATTTATAATTTATTTCAATAACATATAATTTGCAATATATTTCTATAGAAATGAATCTATAATGTATTCTTATAGTGAATTGTTTTAGTGTTTACCTGTAATAATTCATTTGTAATATAACCCTTTAGTAACGCGTTTGCAACACATGTCTAGTAATTCATATGCAATGCAAATCTATAGTAAATCGTACCAAAACAATCTATAATAAATTATTTAAATTTAAAAGCATAATATTAAAGTTGTTTACTCAAGCCGTTTAACCTCACAAAACCTATCAATAATCTGAAAGCCACACAAGACTAACAATATCAAAAGCTACTCAGAACCTACTTACAGTCTGAAAAGTTATCTACAATCCCAAGCACCAGAACACCAACCTGTAAGATAAAAAGCTTATGTATTACTCTTAAAGCTTCATAAAGTGTGTCTATAATTGCAGAGCAATTGGCAAGTGTAATTGTCAGAAATGTCCAATAAACGCAATTGATTAATTTTACAATAAACAATAACAAAAGAAAGAAAATGAACAGGGCAAAATAATACTAAGAAAACAAAATATATATATATATATATATATATATATATATATATATATATATATATATATATGCAAGACAAAACCAGGTAAAGCAGCAGTAATTAGGCAAAAAGTTGACAAAGTAAGAATGGTATTAACGCACTAAAAGGTTGGCGACATGTGATCGTTGCGTCTTGACTTCAAGACGAGACAATAAAAAATACGGCGGAGGAGAACAACAAAGGTATATCTTATTGGCTAGAAAGAAATCCTAGCATGCATCTGTACAATTTGTCTGTAAATTTGAGGAGGCGGACGTCTTTACAGTCATTCCAAATAGAATGGAACCAACAATAATACATTGTTCATTAGATAATCTCTTAAATAATGAAGAATGTGTTTGCTTATTTATAAACCTAATAGACAGGATAAATTGAACTGAAACTTGATAATCAGAAGCATTTTCCGTTTCATGATTGCTATTAGCTTTTTTTGCCGCCACGACGACTATTTTGTGAAAATGATTCAAATGTATCTGAGGACACAATTATTTGAAACACTTGTTCTGTTTTCAATTTGGTTTGGTAATGAGTTATTTTGTTCCTTTGTTGAATGTATATGTTTTGATGGCAGCAAAAGTCATCATCATCATAAAAAGTTTTGGCATTCACAAATGAACGCGGTAGATGGATAGGATTTGCTGCAAAATTATTTGAAATATATCATTAAGCAGTATAGTTCATTTGAAATAATTATATTCTACCAATCCAATTTAAATACAATTCATATAAGTAAGAAAACAAATGAATCAACTTTTTATTAAACATTTCAGTAAATATTCTAGTAAGTTTTACTAGTCGGTAAGAAAGAAAATCATACCTAAAGTAATCTTTTTAGTGAAATTTTAGTACAATACATGACATATTTCTATAGTAAATAATTTAAAATGTATTTCTATAGCAAGTGATTTACAATAAATATATGTTATAATTTTCAGTGAAAATTTAGAAATTATACTATTGACAAAGAACCATATAAAATATTCATTGCATTTCTATCATTATCAGCTATCAACTTCTAATCAAATTAGTCATAATGCATTTCTATCATTATCAGCTATCAACTTCTAATCAAATTAGTTATAATGCATTTCTGTTGTAAATAATTTATAATTAATTGCTATAATAATTTCTGATGAATTTCGAGTAAATATATAAAGTACAATGAACCTCGACAGAATATTTAATTTTCCTCATTACTAGCTATGAACTTCTAAAGAAATTGATACAATGCATTTCTATAATAAATCTACAATTAATACTATAATAAAGTTTCGGTGCATTTCTAAAACATTATTTAAAATGAAACACTATAACATAATATACAATTCCTTTTCATAATTTTACAATGTTATAGCGAAAACTGGTGTGATGGAAAAAAAAACCTTTGGCTTTTTCTATCGAGTGTTCCATCGAAACTAATCGAGTGTAATCTGAAACTCTAACTGAAATGTATTTAACTTAAATTCACAAAATAATTTTTCGCTATATTTATCAGATTTGACTCGGGTGAATTTCAAGATGTGCAATCATAATTAAAATAAGGTATATCTATGGCACATATTGCTTTCGTCTTTGCCACTACCTAGAAAGATTGCACACTTACACGACTATTTTCTTTTAATTTTTTGTTCAGTTGACCCACAACATGTGGGAGAACCTGAAGAAGGCCGCTGTTGATATGATCGACGGATTGGAATCCATTCCCGAATCTGTCAATAAATTCCTTGATGACCTAAAACGGGATATTGAAGAGATGGAAAGTAAGTTAAATTTTTTCTTTGGCCCTGTTGCAAAGCACTTGATATGGATTGGCAGTATTATCTCCCTCGTAAATGGTTTAAGTGTAACTCCATCTACTACCATCTAATCTAATAATGTGTTTGTCTTCAGATCATGGTGTGTCAGATATTTACCTGGATGATCTCTTTGATCACATCACCGACAGAGTTGCTTACAAGGTGAGTATATTTTCCTTTTTATCAAATCTCTTTTTCTCTTTCCCTCATCTTGAACAGGGAGACGTCTCAGTGATTGGATTAGCAATCAAGCAAAAGCAACACGGGTTCAGCGTTCGTCCCGACACCGAAGGATTTGTGAATATTACATAGATAAAGGAAGCATTATTATAAACGCTAAGCTTGATACTTTTGTACATCTTTGTAGATACTATTAATCTGTGTGAGGAAGGAGGGATCTATCTATCTATCTATCTATCTATCTATCTATCTATCTATCTATCTATCTATCTATCTATCACAGTATGTTCACATCTATCATCTTATCTCTTTATCTCTTAAAATTAATTTGGGTAAAACTATTGATATATGTCACAATTGAGCATTGAAATTTCTTGCAACAATCATATTCGATAACATGGTGGCGATCATCTATCTATCTATCTATCTATCTATCTATCTATCTATCTATCTATCTTAAGAGCTAGCTAGCTAAACAACCACAATTATTCCTTACTTTTGCAATAAAATAAATCCATAGAACTCATTGAACGCTAAAATATTACCTTTTAACTTAATCATAACTTTATTTTTACCTTTAATTACGGTTTCCATTTTTCAAAATTTCAGCTCGAATATGGATCCCTTGAGAGACGTGACATCTGGGGTCAACTGAATGATACCCTGCATCGCATTATTGGTCATCTGAGCGGAAGGTTTAATGATTTGAAGGATTTCTTCCATAAATCAGTCAAGGCTGGAGCTGAGAAATTGCATCCTCATCTTCTTAACATCAAGAAACTTGCTGAAGATGTAAGAGAATATTTTTCTAATTATCAAGCTTTTAACGGTCTGATGCAAATCAAGAAGAAAGAAAAATAGTAATTACTTATATTTTAAAGCACTTTGACTTAAAACATCGCTATACCCAAGGTTTAAAACATGTGACTTTGTATTCTTCTACAAGGCTTTTAAAGGGGAGTTGAAGAGTATTGGAATTACCGTCAAGATTATGAGACATTTTGGTAAAACTAGCCATTTCCGTAAACAAGCGTTGATCTTTTTTTTATCTGTTCTACGGAAGAAGTAGTAAACTCATAGATGGACAACGGCCACAATATCTTGGGAAGAATAACATGCTAATAAATCCATGCCTTATATCGACCAGGTAAGCCAGACTTGTCTACTTTATCTAAGCATAATTCTAGGATGTCCTTTGTTTCCTGGATTGCGACAGAGTCCTTCAGGGTATTGTCAAATCAATTAACCAAGTTCTTGATAGGGTTTTGCTTTATAGTCGGGATATATTCACCGGACAATTTAAAACGATCCCTCTCTGATGTTTTTCCTTTTTTTAACACGAGTGACTTTGATTTGGCAACGTTGAAATTCATCCTCGCTCATAAAATAAGTTTCTCTAAACCTTTTAGCAGCCACTCGCGCCAATCACAGACGAGGATGTTATGGTCATATCGTCCATGTATGCACTTATTGGAGGTTGCCGTTGACCAGAACTTTTTAATAAAATTACTATCAATGATGCCATATTTTAGGGGTTTAATTATGTAAATACAAAACCCTATTAGTTTATTTCATTTAATTAAACATTGGCTTAATTCTTTAAGTCCTTAATGTAGCATAATTTATCTTCGCATTTCAGATCTTATGGGATACCAGGAACCTATAACTATGAAATATATCGAATACGTAACAGTAGCAATATGAGAAACCGATTTTAGAAGTTGGTTACTTCATGGAATATCAAGTTAATATGAATTTCTATTGCAAATAGAGAAGACCCCTTAAACTTGACAGAAATTGACTATTCATCAATTTTACCTGTTTTAAGAAGACAAATTGTGATTAAAAACTTTAAGAGACTATGTCTGCTTATCTTTTTTACGTATAGTATATAATATAGGATAGTATCTATTTAGTTTGTTTCTCTTTCCGAACGTACCTTGAAAAAAAAGGCTCTTTTAGAGTTTTATTCGTATAAAGCCGGTAAAACTAGCCGTACAACATATCGAATATACCGACCCCCCTATAAATCTTGCTCTGGATTCTATCTAATATATTCTAATCTAAACGTCTGTAAACCTTTCTGACCCATTTACCTTCCATTTTATTTTGATTAAACTTTAATTAAACCTCATCAATTCCAATTCTGATGAAAAACGAAATTGACATCACGTTTTATAAAGAATTGTTTTTTTAAAGGTTTTGCATTTTACTTTTTTTTTAATTTAAATGTAATTGATTTTTTAGTTTAATTTATAATTGATATGTTTATAAACCTGGTCGATCCATATTTAAATTTATTCGGATGTAATTTACTTGTGAGTGCCATATTGCGTTTGTTCTAGTTGAAGACGAAGATTGACAGTATAATGATTATTTTTCCCTTTCATTCCGAAACAATATATTCCTCTATCAGGTGTGACATTTTTCTTTTGAACCAAAGGACACAAATGAAGATACAATCTTTTATTAGCAATTCTCGCAGACTTTATTAGAACATTTACCTCTATAGTATAAAATGAGTGCATTTTCATTGAATATATATCGAAAATGGATATTTAGAAATCTAACATGTCGTTGTAAATGTTTTCGGATAAGTAAATCTGCCTTTCAGATCTCTCCTTTCCAACTGGTGTTTAAGAACTCCCAGTCGAAAGAATTTTCGCATGAGTAATTAAATTTACAAAGAAGCATGCATAAGAGTCATTTGTTTTTGACGTTAATCTTGACGTTAATCAGTGTTACAAAAACTCCATGGAATTTCTATAGCTACAGCTAGTGATTCAAGAATAGTACGCTTCAAGAATAATATGGATAAAATAAATTATTCTTTCTTGTGAATCAAACAAAAGAAAATCTGTTACGAAGACACACAGATGTCACAAGAAAATATCATTTCGCTGATATGAAAAATAATTGATTACATCCTATTTTAATTATATTTCGATTCTGCTACATTTTTTATTCCATTTACTTTGCTTCATTTATAATTTATACATCACTAGACGATTGATTAAGAAACTGGAATAACTGCCAAGTAGAACGTACTGAAGATTAAACAGCATCTAAATATGGTTAAAATAAATTACTTTTATTATTTATAAATCAAATATTTATTATTCTAATAGTTTAATAATTATTATCTAAATCGTTTTATAGACAAGTGTTTTGAAGAAATGACATACAAAATTCACTGAAAATAGTAATGCCAATTTTACAAGAATAAATATGCACCATTATATATAAAAACTATACACTGTCACCATGAATATCTGTCTATATATCTTCGTATGTAAAATACCTTTTTAACAGTGTATTCATTATCGTGTTTGTTTTTTCAGGTGTTGACTAACATAAGCGTAATAAGCAAGAACGTTGCCCAGCAGGCTCTCGAGTTTTTCAAACCATTCGCTCAGCAACTTGGAAATCTGTGGATGAAACTTGTTAAAAGAATCCATGACCGATTCCACATAGATATGCCTTCGACTTTTTAAGCCTTCTCAGCCGGATTTCATCTTTGAAGAATTTTGAGTCAATATGCTTCGTGCGAATAAAGTGTAAATAAAATTCACTGATGTTTCTTTGTCCTTTCTATTTTCTGTGAGCAAGAAGTTATTTCAGTAGAAAATATATACAAATTATGCAACAACAACAACATCAATAATAATAATAATAAACAAGGGGAACTAGCAAAAAGTAAATATGCCCACAGATATAACAAGGTAGCGACATATGTGCACTGGAAGATATGCAAGATGCACAAAATCGAAACCACTGAAAGATGGTATGGGCTCCAAACAGGCTCAGTTATCCAAATGGGATACATCAATTCAAACTAATAGGGAAATAAAAGCAAACGGACCTAATATTATCATAAAAGACAATAAATTCAGGAAGTGTATGCTTATTGACATAGCAGTATCATCTAAGAGAAACACCTCCATGAAAATTATCGAGAAATTGTCCATATACAAGGACCTGGAGATCGAGATTAACAGGATGTGGGGAATGAAGACTGAGATTGCGCCAATAGTAATCGGAGCTCTGTGCCTCGTGAGAAAAGGAATGGACAGTTTTAGTAACAATGTCCCAGGTGACATCAATATACAAGTTGCCCAGAAGATCGCCCAACTAAGAACATCTCATATACTAAGAAAAGTGCTATCAGTTAAGTAACAATTCTCTTATAGGACCTAAGAACCATAGTTTGGACCCGGAATACAAAGTAGGAAAGATAAAATACACAAATAATAATAATAATAATAATGTTTCTTTACTCAATTTCGGTTGCCTGGAAACACGCTTACTCGTCATTTTATTAAATACAGAGGAAGGCATATCTTTATTTTTAATCATTTAACTCTATTGTTGTAATGCCACAAAGAAACTTAGGGTTTATTGGGAGTGGAAGAAAATGAAAAGATTTAGTGAGGAGAAAGGAAGATAAAGGAGCAAGCTTCGGGAAGACAGAAGATGGTGACTGATGTTGCGTTTAAATCTTTTAAGATTGTAGGCGGCAGGAAAGTACAAAATCAGAAGAGAATTTCAGAATGTTGCCGGCATGCAAACATTAAATTTTTCCATTGCCCAACCCCTTACTCAAATTGTGGACTTCCCTACTCGTTTTCCTAGCCAAACCGATTAACAGACTTCACTACTGGATCTATTTCTTACCTCTTCTCGCTCTTGCCGAGCTTCGCAATACTATCTTCTTGGTAACTCGGAGAACGCTGATTCTCCTTGACGCCCCTTGGGCTGACAACTCCAAACTCCCAGTTGAAAATATCGGCACTGGGGTTTCTTCTTGGGTCAAAGCCGTCATGGACGCTTTCATCTTTCTCAGAACGACTAGGTGAAACCGCTGTCCTTTCCATGGTTCACACCAATATACTCGGGCACCATAACACACAGGAACCACTATTTCCGGCTATACCAGCGTGACAACTCTCGTTATAACAGGTGCTTATTCGCTACTTCTCGTAATAAATTTAGGCGAGTCATCGAAGGAGCTAAGTCCCTGCTTGTCGAGAGAATAAGGCACCGCATTGCCTCTAACAATTTTGGCTCTCGTGATTACTGGCTGTTCTGTAATTGGGTATTAAATAAGTGCAAAGTCTCTATTTCCCCCCTCTTCAATCAATCTGGGCTATTGTCATCCTCTATTAATAAAGCTAAATGCTTGACCCGTAGATTCTCCTCAAACTGTACTCTTGACTCATATGAAGTATCCCTGCCTAACTTCCCACTTAGAATTCAATCTCTGTTGAGTGATATTCATATAACTCTTTCCATGGTTTTTGCTTTCATCTCTAACCTTGATCTCCATAAATCATGTGGACCCGATGGTATTCTTGTAATTGTCATGAAGAAGTGTTGCTCCCGAACTGGCTCCTATTATCTCTAAACTGTATAATAAATGCTTCACTGCCTCCTGTTTTCCTGCTTGCTGGAAGTCATCGT